CGACCGATCAGTTTTGCAAGCGTCTTCAATTAGAAACTGCTGAAGAATCAGATGAACCTACACAGTGAGACGGTCTTATAAAACGATCGATGAAAATTCCGAGTTTTTTTTTCCTTAATTTCACTTGCACATTTGAACGTTGGAGTAATAAGGCATTGATGAAATAAATTTAAAGAAGAATCATTCTGCTATTGTAGAGAAAGAAGAAGAGAAGGGTGAACTCGGGTCTTTCACGACTCATCAAAAAAAGATCCTAGAGCAAGGGTGGGAAGTGGGGCAGCCGCCTGTGGAACGTGTGATTCCGCGCAGACTTCTTCGCGCACTCGGCACGCGACGAACTGCGCGACAGATTATCCGGTGCGGTATACAGTACTGTTTGGTTGAGGTGGGCCAAACGAGATTTGCACTGGTCCATGGCTTTATCATGGACTATTGGAAATCTCCTTATCTCGGCAATAGGTTCCCTTCGAGGTTAGAGTTTACTTCATATCACTATTATACTTGTCAGAAGATTGAAATAAGAACAACTTAACAGTTTTTGATCCCAATAAACGCAATCTTTCTGCAAACTTATGTAGTTGTTGCCTTGGGTAGGTTTCTACATTGCCCATTATGATGGTAGACCCGTCATTATGACGCGTCTCGTCCACTGCACCGCGTCGTCGCAGGCCCGCCCCTCACGCTAGAAGACCTCGTTATCTCGACGAATTTCAAAGAACTCTTTGGGACATCAGTTGTCTCAACTACATCCGTGCGTATGAGTACGTTATCAAAAAATACCGCGGACTGAGAACCTGTCTTGTTCTAACATACTTAGGTGCGAAAATGAAGATTGCGGGCCACTTCACCGTGTTCTGCTTCTCTAACGCCCCGGGCTGGAACACAGGAGGATCGAGAGCATAACATTGCTGAATCAATTAGAATGAAGGGAACAATTGGTTCTGAGTCAGAGGAGCAAACCATTTACGTCTGGGGAGGAGGTCCAGTGTGAGTGAAGCACCGTCTACAGGCAGTAGTTGATATGAAAGACAAGAGCAGTAGTGGCTTGCAGATCAGGAAGGGAGCGCAGACTAGGGGGTGAAAGGGAGGTCCACATCCGGACTTCACTCACTTGCGTTGGTAAATAGCAATAGGCCCTCGTTATTGAAAAGGTATGTTTTGAGTAATTCACCGAGATTGTCTTAGTACCATTTCTACAACTCCCTATATGATGAAAGTTATAAACGATAAGCACAATTCTGAACGTAATTCCGCTTACAAAAGGCATTCGGTAGCATCTTTACGAACAATCTCTTCGTTTTTCTCTCTATGACAAAAGCGATTCAATACATCTGGCAGCTCTTCCTCATCGGTATCCGACGAAAAGTGTCTAGCACCTGAATCGGGGCGGTCTGAGAGGTGTCAATGTGTGGGGGAGTTTTTTAAAAAGATCACAACCAGTTTGGATTGGAGCAACTCACATGAGACGGCATCGTTATCTCCTTGAAGTGGCTTATATTTTGTTTTGAACGGCCATAGAAAGAACATAATGGCACAGGCTGTCATCGATCAACTGCGATGAACTGTGAAATGTGGATTTCGATGAAAGCACATGACGTAGTATACAATTGTTCAGGCATTCGGAACTCAATAATGTGAAAAAAAGCTGTTCAAAGTAATTGCTACTTAGTGTATGAGTCGGTGATGATCCGGGAATAACGGGGAATTATCTAAAGGTGCTCGCACGGTACACGCGAAAGCACATCACATAACTGCCTGCCAACAGATCGATTCGGGACGTTCAAGACAATTGATGGATCCGTTTCACGGTGTGGGGCTTCATTATGTAAGCGGCCACCGCGATGGTTTTTCGCTACGATTGCGATACTTGGCAATACAGACCAAGGGATCTTAAACATAACATTCCGCAACAAATTTGGTCATGGAGACGAAAATTGTGAAGGTTAGTGTGTGGTTAGCGCAGATGTGGGTTCTACTTCAACGTAGACATATTAGTGGATATTTTAGGTGAGCACCGTAAAAGCTGATGCATATGTTTAGGACAAGCAAAAGGTGTTCATATATAGGAACTGTATAGAGATGCCAATTAGAATATGGACCGAATGGATAACGCCCAGGTTAGTGGGGTGGAGGACACTCAGAGGAAACATTTGCTAGAAGTGGGAGCGTTCAAACGGCTTTTTTTCCCATTGCTGCGTGTCGGAATAGTGACGACGGAGCGGAGTTTTTCGCGTAAAGAAGTGAAGGATCAGTAGTTCTTGGCATTTGACGTGGACCACTGCAATCTTTACCTCAGTGAAATTGAGAGGAAAGTGACTTCTATGGTTCCTTCCCTCCCCAGGATTGGCGATGAATCGCCAAGGATCGACTTTGGGTGGTCAGTCAAAGCATTCGCCCCTTACAGCTTTATTCTCCTTCTCTCTGCTCATGTATGCGTTAAGTTTTGACCTGCTTTTATTGCAACTACTGCAACCAACTACCTATGGATCTGTGGTCCCCGACGGTCAGGTGAAGGGTTCCCGTTATTCACTGCTTTGTCCATCTAGATCCTTATTCTCCAACTCTCTGCTGGCCTATAATTTATATATTACCCTGCTTCTACTCTGCAAGTATTATACTGCGTCGTTCGGATAGTAATTACGTTTTTTGCGAACGAATTTTTCGAATGCATGTTCAAGATGTTTTTCAGAGGTTTGCTAGATCGTTAATAATAAAGGCTCTAGGAATTAATTGGTGATTGGGTCTTGTTCTCTAAGGCCTCTTCTATCGTCAGTGTTCCCATCCTACCCCTCTATGCCTATTGGCTCTGTTCTCTAAGTCCACGGAATCAGGAGTTATGGGTTTTCGCTCTGACATTTATTTCGCCGAAACTCGACCCTGTGAGCGAAATCTAGCCGTGCTGCCCACCATAAGTGTTCCCATGCCGCCATCTGTTCTCTTAGCAAGTTTGAACGCCCTAAGGCCAAATGGACAACTTTGGCGCAACCCCGCCCTCTGTGGACGCGGTCCGGTCCTGCCACCCATCATTACTGTTCCCACCCTGCCATGGGTGCTCCTAGCAAATTTTAACTTTCTAGCTTTACGGGGACAGGAGTTATGATTTTCCGCTGAGACTTTTATTTCTCGCAAACCCCGCCCCCTGTGGGCGGAGTCCGGTCCCGCCGCTTACCATGTGTGTTACCATCCCACTGCATGTGCTCTTGCCAAATTTGAACGTTCTAGGTCCACGGAACAAGAGTTACGTATTTCCGCGCAAACAGACAGACAGGCGAACGGACGGACAGACAGACGCGAGCGCTTAATATATATTAAGGAAAGTGCAGCGCTAGGTAGGACTTTAGTAGCATTCGTGGCTAAAAAGGGTAAAATCTAATGAGTTTGGTAACATTCTGCCATCTGCCATCTTCCTTATTTTCGTTCACATGTTGTGCTGTAATGTGTGTTCTGTTTTCACAGTCTGTTCTAAAGCAAACACGATGGCTCGCTATGGGTAGCGAATTGGATGATTGCTGCTGTCACATCCATTCGTAGTGTGGAACGGTATTGAGGAGGACACACTTTGCAAGACTGTTTTCATCGAGTGGTTGACGGTAGAAATCTCATTACTTATACCAGTAGGTTCGTCCGGTTACACCATGCTCCCCTCCTGGTCCTTATCTTCTCTTATCACTTATGATCAGTTCCTGTCACCGAGTACCTAGGATCCGGCCATATCCTACATCAGTTATTAAAATGCCGAGATTCCACTGAACTGTAAGTCTACCAAAGTTCAGCGCTCTTGGTCCATGTAAGTAGGACTTATGAACATGCAGTGCGAAGTTCCAATGCGCATGCCTCGCCTCTGTAGTCCTACTACCTGCCATAAATGTTCCTATCCTGCCCCTCCATCTCCTGCCAAATTCGAACTTTCCAGGGATGAGGATGAAAATGTAGTTGGGGGGGGGG